ATGATTTACTGCTAGAAATTATAGAAATGTTCTCATAACCAACATTGCAGACAAAATGATCTGCAAATAACCATAATAGCGATACACGGAATCACCATCAAAATGATGAATTATTTCCCTCGCTAATAGACTCAATTAGTCCCATTTTATCATGTAAAAGGTTTGAAATAGCCGTGCTTTTTAATATTATATTAATCTGAATGCATTTTGGTGTCTATCTGTCATAGATTGCTGGAAGCCGAGTTATTTTAACCATCGATGATGGACGAATCCAGTATGGTTGCTAATGGATATGAATTTTTAATATGTGAGATATTTGGAGATCTACTGATAAATATTTTTAGACGTATTATAGTTTGAATTACTTTTTCAGTGATAGGTAACTACGTAATAAATAATAGGTTCCAATGAATTGATTTGAACTTTTTTGTGTGCCTGCTTAGACATAGGTATGAAGTGAATAACAAAACATATTTATTAATGTATGTAACTGTTTGACGAGGAACACGACTAGTTTCAAGCCATGCTAGAGACTCATATTCATGAGCAGCATTTCGCAAATTATGTTGAAGGGTTTTCTAACTTTTAATGCTCCTGCTAGTTTATTCTGTAAGATATCATTTTGAAGTCTCGAAGCTCGATCGTGGTCCGCCATGTCATTGGTTGTCAGAATAATCTCGACCAATGACCGGCGAGAATACGATTGAGCTCACTTTGAGAGTTCGAATTGATATCTGACAGAATAGCATAGTTGATCTAATTGATGCTTAAACATGTTAAAGTTTAAGGTTAGGAAAATGTTTACATAACCTTTTACTTTACAAAATAAGTACAATACACAATAACATTGAACCGAAGAAACGACCAACAGCAACAAATAAGAAAACGAGCAAAAAGCTTTATTTCACAATCTTTCCCTCAAGCGGAAAACTGCAGAGCAAAATAGTTTTTATCGCGAGAATTTTCTAGAAAATAAGTGATCAGTTCTTTAGTACAAGAGTACGACTGGAGACTAGAACAATCCTGCCTTCAAAACTTGTAGGGAACTTTATGTTTTCTTAGTAATTTATTATTTTTAGACTTCTACTTGCAAAGTAGGGCTAACGGGCAACTCGTTGGCATGTTTTGCTCAAGTTTCCGAAGTTGCAAGGATTATTTTTTTTAAGTGGTTTGTTAATAGTGTAATTTTTAACCGACTTCAAAAGGAAAAGACGTTCCCATTTCGTCCTGTATGCACGTTTGTGCGTGAATATCTCGCGATTGGTTTAACCAATATTGATGCAGTATTCTGAAACACTTCGGAGAATTAATTATTACATTAACTAACCGACTTTAAAAAAGGAGGGTTGAAATCGGTTCTTTTAAATATACTTTATAAAAGATTATTTTGAGATTCTATTATTTATTCTGTTCTCGTTAGTTGAGTTAGCAAATGGGATTTAAACTGTCAAACACCAAGCGGTCACAGGTGACCGCAACCTATTGTTCTATAATTGTGTCTACAAAACCGGTACTCGACGAGTTAAGCAAGAGGTCGGCTTTGGGTTGATTCTGAGGTCGGGTGAGAGTGTGTTAGGTACCTCTCGATTTTTATTAGTTTCAGTGATTTTAAACTGCCTTGTTGACCGAGGGGCCATAAGCGGGACTGCCGGGCAAGGGGTCCCGGGTTTAATTCCCGGGTCGGACAGTATTACTTACTGAGTTATTAAAAAATTCCCAGCTGTAACACGGAGTCTAGAATTGTGCCCGGTATATGGCAATAGGCTCATGCCCTATTACGTGGGACTCATAACATAAAATAGTGAAATAAGTAGGTACAATAGGTGTTAAATAGTACAGTAGTATTAGGTGCCGTAATGCGCACCTCTGCCTACCCCTTCGGGGATAAAAGGCGTGTTGTGTTATGTTATGTGATTTCAAACTAAGTTTGTTTCTGATTACAATGGAAAAGTAGGTTTTGAACAATAGCCGTAAACGTTATGTTATTTTATATTTATTAATAGAATAATCTGTTTGTTTTTGATGTTATTCTAATAGTTTTGAACGGAATCTGGCCTGAATAACAAAACGTTTCATGTATAAAGATTAAATTGTGTAAGACTGAGTCAATTGATGACTCACGTTTCCTCTGACTCATCTGTAGATATTGGTAAATATAAAAATCAATGAATTTGATACACTGGCATTGGAGAATAAAGATCATTTTTAATTAATTTATGTCGTATCGATGACATTCAGAAGAACCGGTTGGATGCAGATTGCTTTCATCTACGTGATCTGGAAGGTACTAGGGACGCTCAGCAGTGTACGTATTGTACCTGACATTATGATAAAAATAAGACTAATTAATAGATTGCAATCATCGATAAATTCCATAATAATTTACCGGATACATGAATCCACTCAGTCAACAAAACATTGTTCCACATTTACAAATATAGCAATATAAAATCACATAGATAAAACTAATTTAAAATTAAAATCCTATCTGCAAATAAAAATACATTTGGAAATAAATTAAACGTTGTCAAAGGCTAAGTGACAGCACACACGACAGCGTCCAGTTCAAACCCGAAAATAATATTCATAACAAAAATTAATTTCATCAACTCACTTAAAAATTAATTCATCACAAAAATACTTTCATCAAATCACATCATGATAATTAAACTCACGTCATTCTCTTTTTGTTGCAGATACGACACATCAACGAGTGCTTTTAAGAACCGAAGAACAATAAATCATTTTATTAAAAAGGTGGCTAAAAGTAAAACATGGGATTCCCTTCGAAATGGTTTAGTTAGTGTAAAAATAGACCATTCACATAGGGGAAAGCGAAGCTTCCGTTAAAATGTGAATGTCTAAAATTAAAACCCGGATTTCCTTGTTATGTTAGCATACGGATAATTTTGTGTAGTGCGGTTATCATGCTGTTGAAATACAGTTTTAGAATAAGACTTACGAGTAGGGGTGTGTCACAATTATTTCTGTTGCTACGGACTCAAAATTTGGTGGTTCTTGCAATCTGTACAGTGTTATTTGGTGTGTGTGGTGGATATCAGGAGCAGAAGTTTGCTATGGAGCCTCAGGATCAGGTAATCTTTTTTATTAACTATTTCTTCTATTTCGTTGTAGTAATTTAGATGTTAAAGTCCCTGATATGTTTTCTCGGGTTAAATTCCTGAGATTGCAACTGTAGTTGTTTCTTCCGCAATGGCAACCCAGGATTGATATTTGTTACGATCTCCGGCCACCGTAAGCACGGGCCTGCGGACGGCGAGCATGGGTGACTTGCCGCCCGACCAGAACCAGGCCCGAGAGTACGGTGCGTCGCGTTCCACGCGCGCCTCAAGGAGCCATCAGACCACCACAGATGGGGCCTAACAGGGCTGATGCCGATACGGAGCCGCGGAAGACTAACGGGTTGCCGGGGCTCCGGCTCGAAGTGCCGGAGTAGGAACGGGGTGGTTTTTAGTCAGTAAGAGTCTGACACTCCCTCACGCCTCACCCGGGCGGGAGAAGTCAGTGGATGATTTTCCCCCGTCAAAAAAAAAGGATTGATATTTGTTACTGATGTTTCAATATTTAAGTAACATTGTCTGTTTTAACCTGATTAATGGAACTTATGCCTTAACTCGTCGAGTACCGGTTTTGTAGACACAATTATAGAACAATAGGTTGCGGTCACCGGTGACCGCTTGGTGTTTGACAGTTTAAGTATAGAAGTTTACGTATTGACCAGTAGAGCAAAAACGTATTTTTTAAATTTCAGTTTCCATAGAAATATTAATTGCTTTAAACACAACCTGGCACAGAGACTTAAAACCCAAAAAAATGCCAATATCTTTCCGTCTAACAAATCTTACACTTGAATCCTCAAAAATCTAAATTCAAAATCTAGTTCTCAAGCACCACAATAAGATCTAAAATTGAGACCACACGTCTAGCAATGCGGATGTAGGAAACGGGAAATGAGACGATAATGACAGTTGCCTCCAAAATAGTCACATGTCATTAGTTGCTATCGGACTGCAATGACGTTTCTTAGGAAAGGAATTTCGTAGCTTTGTAGACGGGCGGTACTTCCCGATAAATTGGTTGCGAGATTAAAAATAGTCCTTTTTGATGCAGTTATTTCTTTGGTCTTGTCGAGTAGAGCTTTTCTCAGTGTATTCACGTGAGCGATTTTTAGTTAATTTATATAGTATGTCTCACGATAATTATTATAAAAAAGACGTAAGTGTGATTGCTAAGTAAGGGATTTCGGGTTCGATTCTCGTTCGATTCGGGATTCGATTCCCGATATTAGGTATTAGGTTGTTCTTGATTACATGGAGTCTGAAATTCTGACTGAAATGTGGTAACAGGCTGAGATACTCTCTGTGATATATTCATAACACAATTGGACAAAATCCGGTATAACATTGTTTTTATGTTATGAACCTAAGTCTACCCCTTCGAAGATTAACAAAAAATATGACGTAGTGTATCTTTTTTTTATGGCATAAGCCGGTAAACGAGCAGACGGATCACCTGATGGTAAGCAATCGGCGTCGCCCATGGCCACCAGGAACACCAGAGGCGTATTACAAGTGTGTTACCGGCCTTTTGGGGATTAGGAGTTTAAGGATCGTTGGGGATTCAGGGATTGGGGAGATTGGGGAAGGGGAGAGTTATTGGGCCTCCTGTAACCTCACTCACACTACGAAACAACGCAAGCGTTGCTTCACGTTGGTTTTCTGTGAGGCTGTGGTATCGCTCAGGTCGAGCCGGCCCATTCGTGCCGAAGCATGGCTGTCCTACACTTTGATCTCGGACAAAAAACATAATGTAGTGTTTTTTTTTAATCTTTATTTTATAAGTAGGGTTTTTTCTAAGGGAATAACATCAGCCCCATTATAGGATACAAAACTTAAAACATACTACAATAAAGTAGTAAACCGCTTACAGGTTTATACTGTATCTATCTTAGTCCTCAACAAACATGAATTTAATCAACTAACAAACATAATCAACTATCGAAATATTTAATCAAAGTACATGAAAACTTCTACATTTCAAATCAAAACTAAGTAATAGAAATTGAATTACTTAAATGTGTTGATAGAACTACTTAGAAATGAATAAACTAAACGAATTCAGTAAGATAAGTAATGATTAAGAAACTTAAATTTCTAAGAAAATTCTTTTAAGGTTATTTGGGATTCTGCGAATTAATCTTTCTAAGTAAATATTCTTTAGACTGGCTATCTAGTTCTTTGGTATAAAGTCTCATATTTTATTCCCCTGAATGATAAAATATAACGTAACATAACATCACGCCTTTTATCCCCGAAGGGGTAGGCAGAGGTGCAGATTATGCCACTGTACAATGTAACACCCATTTTTCACTATTTATGTTATGAGTCCCATGTAATAGGGGGTGAGCATATTGCGATATACCGGGCACAATTCCAGACTCCGTGCTACTACTGAGAATTTTTTAAAAACCCAGTAATACTTTGCCCGACCCGGGAATCGAACCCGAGACCCCTTGCCCGCAGTCGCACTTGCGACCAGCATGATTAAACAGATGCACATAGATAATTCAAAAACCATGTATTGATGGAACGTTGAGTAGGCGAGACCGACCAGGCGGGGTGATCGTGCCTGGCGGGTATCCTGTCCAACAGTTATTCGTTCGTATTTTCTATCCGTGTTAATTAGCGTATAAACTGTACATGTGCGATGTAGGATTTTTGTGACGTCATCCATTGGTTTGTTTTCCATCGATGGTCTATGTGTGTGTAAGCTGTCATTTGGCATGGGACATGTGTTGCCACAACTAGATAGATACGGTATGTTGTGACTTTGTGAGTCCCACTTAATAAGGGGTGACCATTGTTTTCTTTCTCTTACTTTAAAAATATTCTTATCATAGCATGGAGTCTGGAATTGTGTATAAAGCCACCCTCTACTATATGGGACTTATAACATAATTGGGTAGTTGCCAACAAGTCAAATTCAATACATTTTTCGATCTGTCAATAATGACAGTTTTCTATGAATTTTGTACGGGTTTGTGTATTGTGACACTTCGGAGAAGGTTTTAGTATATTATTTAACCGACTTCAATAAAGAGGGACTTGAAATCGATTTTAACTCGTCGAGTACCGTCATTATAGACACAATTATAGAACAAG